GGGGACCCTCGGCCTCCAGGGACGCCTGGGAGGAACGGCGGCCCGGTTAGGTCGCCCAGAGAAGGGTACAGTCCAGAAGCTCCCCGGCTGGGCAGTGCCCCGGCCATTTACACCCCCCCACCCCGCTCGAGGAGGCTCTTTGCTCCAGGACGCACCCCAAACTTGCTCCCCAACATCCGGCCACTTTCAACCTTTTTAAAAAATATTCTCACCCAAACAAGGCAACACCCAGAATTCCAAGCGTCGGAACAGTCACCAAATACAAAAATCTCTCCACCTGGAGGCCGCAGGAGGCCTTTTCGCCCAAGCTTGGGGTTGGGGGGCCAGGGTGGGGTGGGGAGGTGTCTTAATGCGCAAGCGCCTTAGGAACGCGGGTTTGGCCTCCCGGTGGTCCCCGCGTCCCAGAGGAAGTCACATACGGGCAGGGAAATGCAATAAAGGTCTATCTCCTCCTCTGTCCCCGGCGTTGCTGAGCTGACCTCCCGGCGAGGGGAGAGGGGGTGGGAAAGGAAACTCGCACAAGGATTCTGTTTATTGAGTTATATATGTATATATTCCGCGCTCGCACGTACAGGAGCATTTACACGGCTGCAGAAAGATGGCTGGGGCCCGCGCGCTTCCCGGGCGTTCAGGTGACAGGCTGGGGCTAAAATCCCCATCCGAAGAGAAGCCGAGGCCTGGAACGAAGCACGTTTCGGCGCCCTGGGTTTAAATAAGTTTCCCGCATATACAAAGGTGGGAGCCACTCGTTTGCTGCCAGTCATCGAGGAAACGTTTAGCTTTCCAAAAATACGCTGGTTTCGATAAATAGATTTTAGCCTCTCTGCTATAGCTTTTTTTTTTTCCCCCTCTTAATTTTAGAAATAAGTTTAGACGTGTGATCTGTTTGGGGGCTGGATAGGGCCGAATGGGAGGGCGAGGCAGGAGCTCTCAGCTCTGCACTGTCCGAGCCAGGTCCTTTGTGGAGGGGGCGGCGGGGGCCACGCTGTCGTGGAGTTTGCGCACGTGCTTCTTTAAGTCAAAGTTTCTGCAAAACCCTTTGCCGCAAGTGGCGCACGTGAAGGGCTTCTTGTCGTTGTGGGTGTGCATGTGGAAGGTCAGGTTGTACACCTGGTGGAAGGCCTTGTTGCAGATGGTGCATTTGTACTGCTTCTCGCCGCTGTGGGTCAGCTTATGGTTCTTGTAGTTCCCTACAAAAGACCAAACACAAAAACGTAGGGGGGATGAAGTGGAACGGGGAGGGTGGAGTCGGGGCCTCCCGGGGTTGGCCCAGGTGCCCGCGGAAAGAAGGCGACGCTTGGCTAAGCGGGCGCGACCTCTGCCAGAGAGGAAGCTGTCAAACTTCGTCTGCGTCAAGCCCGGGGCGCCCACCCCAGGCAGGGCGGCCGAGTCCCGCGTCCCGGCCCCGCGCCCCTGC